GACATTGATCTCTTTAAAAGTGTGTGACTTGGGTGAATGGGTTTATTGATATCTTTTCTAGAGATATGTGTCAAAATTTAATAGTGATCATTTAGGTTCTTACTCACATGGGTGTGGGAGGGTCTCATAGTGTCATTACTCATAATATAAATATATCAATAATTTAAATATAAATGTAATATATGTATAACATAATATATTATATTATCTATAGTAATTTATATTTATTCTATTAATATATAATTTTGTTTTATATAATATTATAAATATCTATTATTACATAATAAATATATTATATATCATACAAAACATATATCATATATAACATAATATAATATAGTATATTTTATATTTATTTTATTAATATATATTTGCATTATATATAATATAATAAATTATCGTATTAATATTTATTTGTATTATATAATGCATATAAAATAATATAATATAATACAAATGTAAATATAAATTAACAATATAAATATAAATATAAATATAAAGAGGGACGCATAATGGGGCTTGAGGAATCAAGTTCTTATTTTAAGTTCCATCATTTTAGCTGGAACTTTTTTTCATAAGCATTAGGGCATAAGGAAGTTCTAGGTAGAACTTCTTTGCTGTATAAGTTCCGTGTATCAAACACGAAACTTGTAGGAGAAGTTCCTTCTTCCTCCCCTAACTTCTTGTTATTAAAAATTATAGTTATGGTATCGAAAATGTTCAAATAGATCATCTTCACCTTAATCATTCTAGTTATGAAAAAAAATATGATTTCAAGCCCTAAAAATAATATATATTGTAACATATTACCTCGACCGTTCATTTTGCAATATTCATAGATCTACAAGATCGATATCATATTTTTGTGCTTGAAATTTCATAATAGATGTATGAATATTTTCACACCAATTGATCCCAATGCATCTTTTCATACCAACCGATCGCTAATTGATGTGAAAATATTCATATACCTAAATGCATGAAGAAAATATTTTCACGTGAACCAAACGTAATCTTATGATCCTATAAAGGATTTTAGACCCTTAAATAATATTTTCCCTTTTTTTATGTTTTTTTTCATGTTTATTTACGTTTCAGGTTTCAATCATCAAACATGAGACGATTGCCTATGGGTCCCTTCTTTAATCACTAAATGGTGGCCTCCTGTGATTTGTTCCCCTAAAGTTGCAGAAAAATCTTGGATAACCAAATATGCCAAAAGATGTTACACCCCTGCAAGAATGTACTATCCTATATACTCCTATAAAATTTACGTTAGGAATATTTTTTAGATCTCAAATTTTAGAAATGTAGGCTCTAGAGCCTAGCGACTAGCCTCAAAGGAAAAAAAGAAAATTTCACTATGCATAATAAAAAATAAAAAAATTAAGAATATTTGGGCAGAAAGAACTAGATACTCAAAAACTCAAAATCCATTTTTTAAAATAATTATCTAGTAATATTCGGATGAATTCTAGAAGTTGGAATCAAAAAATACTCCCAAATAGCTATTTGCCTGAGGGAGTTGTTTTGCAGTATGCTCCCAAGGGAGCATACTATTGTGCTCACCAATTAATTCACTTTTCATTTCCCTTGTCGCTGAGCGTGCCATCGTTAGCCCTTATGGTTCTCTCTCTCTCTCTCTCTGTCTCTCTTTCTCTCTCTCAATAATTAATCCATCTCAATAATTAACCCAGTTGAGGACCCCCCTCTCTCTATGTCTCTCCATGAGTACTCAAATTGAGGAGGGGCTCCTTGCTTCATAGCTGTAACCGTTCTTGCCATTCTCACCTTATACAATGATGGGTCGATTTTCTCATTAAATTCTTTGATATATTAATATATCCATCTATTTGTCTATCTATATATGGCTTCCGTCACTCTTTATATTTAACGGTACTTTTGGTTTGTATAAAATATAATACTTTTACGTGAAAAAACTCCTTCATATGGTTAGGTGTAAAATATTTTTACACCAATTAGCTTCCAATTGATCTGAAAAGATGTATTGAGATCAATTTGTATGAAAATATTCTTACACCCAACCATATAAAGCAATTCTTTCACATTAAAATATTTATTGAGAAATATTTTCATGCCAAACAAATGTACCCTAAGTGAAATTAGTAAAAAACCATATAAGAGAGGCCTTCCTTTCTCTA